CTTACAAAGCTGACATCAACCATCACGATTCTCTAAAACGTTTGGGGGGGAGGGGGGAGTAAAGAAAGGAAGGAAAATATATTATAGACCACATTTGTTTGGCTTAAAATTGAGGATCAACAGTCTCAAAATTTTGGACATTTGTGTGTGGGAGGCTGCTGATTTTAGAAGTTAGAAATTTAAAGGCCCCAGCCTTTATGCATAATATTTCGATTAAAAAACGACCACTTCAATGAAGACTATTACTTCTTATGACTTTTTTCTTGATGTGTGTGTGTCGTCTAGAAAAGGAATGGATTATCTGTTTATAATTCAAGTTCTCCTAGAAGAACAACATATTGTGGTCTCTGATTACACAGCTAATAAAAGGATCCTGGAACTGGTTTGCAAGTACAATATTTTATTTCTGAGCACACTTTTTTTTCTCCGTGAGTAGACTTATAAGATTGCAATTAATTTCCAAGCAACAAAAATGCTACCTTGCAGTCCACTAGTATTTCGCACGCTCATGTGACCGTATATGGTTGCCAGCTTCGTAAAACTTTTACTAAGCTAAAATTCTGACTAAACTAAACTTCTGACTAAACTAAAAATGTGACTAAACTAAAACTCCTACTAAAATGAAACTCTTACTAAACTAAAATTCTGACTAAACCCCCCAAAAAAATGTGACTCGACTAAAATTCTGACTTGATATCTAAACTAAAAGTCTTACTAAACTAAAATTCTGGCTAAACTAAAAATGTGACTAAACTAAAAGTCTTACTAAACTAAAACTCCTACTAAATTAAAACTCCGACTAAACTAAAAGTCTTACTAAACTAAAATTCTGACTAAACTAAAATTCTGACTAAACTAAAATTCTGACTAAACTAAAAATGTGACTAATTAAAGATGCTGACTAAACTTTTTTTAAATGACTAAACTACATGTATAAGTCTTATTAAACTAAACTTCTGACTAAACTAAAAATGTGACTAAACTAAAATTCTTACAAAACTGAACCTCTGACTACAATATTATGGTATCTCCAGTAGGTCAAGGTCAACAGTTTGGCGGGTACCACCACCTGAGCTCACCTGACCACAAGCGGGTGCTGTCCAGTGGCCAGTCAGACACGGTAGACAAGAACATCAAAGTGACCTTAGAGAACAGAGACTTGTGGGGAAAGTTCCATTCGTTGGGCACCGAGATGATCATAACCAAGACAGGCCGGTGAGTACATGTACATTGATTGATTGATTGATTGATTGCTTGATTGATTGATTGTTGGGACACTCACGCGCGGGTTCACGTGTATACACACATGTATACGTAAACATACATACATACATACATACACTCTCTCATACACACATACGCACACACATACACACATACACACGCGCACGGGCACACACACACACCCTTTTGTGCACACAAACATGTATTAACGAACCTACACACATACACACACATACACA